ATATCAGAAGATTCGCCTGCCACAAATATAAAATTCGAAGAAAACGTCACCTCCTATCAAATATTTTACATGTATGCAAAATAATTGGTACAAGTTTATGTTCCCTAAAACATATGTGAATTCGTTAGGGCATCAGCAGTCAATGAGAGAGATTCATACTACGAAGGTAGTCATTTTTGTAGAGTTTGATTTCGGTAGACCGATGTCAAAAAAACTCGATCAAATACTGTTGACTCGACTATGATATATATATACTAGGCTGCAAAACACTCAATATCGAAAATCCAATAAAGGTATAGTTTCGACTCGGAAAAACCTTTTTTTGAATGATACTTCATGAGACAGACAATCGACTGTTTACATCCCAGTAATTTTGGGAGACCCACCTGTGGAATGAACGCCAAAATATAAATTATCATCAGCGCCAAAAGGAGGTGTGTCGTGCGGCTGTGTAATCTTTCTCGGATTTTATCTGCTTCGTTAACACGTCTGAGGGGATTCTCCGTTGCATCAGCAGAGGAGACCTGTGACATCAGCGAGTGATCGGGTAGGTTCTTTCGATCGAACCTCTGTCGGCTCATTGAACGCGCATGTCTAACTCGTGCGTGCATTGTGGCAATCAGGAGGGAAGAGAGGAATATGAAGCAAAAGAGGGGCGCCAGTTTCATTATAACTGCAGCATTCCAGTAAAGCAGCCGGCGTCGCCACTCGCTTTGCACATAATTGACCATGTACCTCTCGTCGAATGTGTCCAATGCACTATCCGTTGCAACCGTGGAACCGTCCTCTGGCAGGACTTCATTCACAGGGAATATCCGGTGTCCAATGATGCAGGGAATTGTAAAGAAGGTGGCGGTAAAAAGGGTTATGCCGACGGCAAGAACAGCACGCTTGTGACTGCACCATTCCTGGCACTTCAGAAGGTACTTGGCGTAGATCAGACGGAAAACTGCTAACGTTACTATAATACCACAGGAAAAAATATGCAGTAAATTTTGCAGGTTGACATAAAGTATCAGATAAATGGCCATTGGGTAGGCCGCAGCCGTCATATGTTCCCCGTAAATGAAGTAGGAAGTGAAGGGGATGTAGAGGAACATGATGAGTCCATCACTGATTGCAAGCGAAGTGAGTAGGAAGTTGGTCGGTGTTTGCATGGACTTCTGGTTCAACACAACGACATTGAGGATGTTCGAAAAAACACCGATCGGGCACCAAATAAGCACAAAGTAGACGTGTACATCCTTGTAGGTCTCCGAAAGAAGTTGTATTATTGGTATAGGTGTGCAGTTGTAGGAAATGGAGGGATCGGGGATGTGTATAATTGAACGATTCATTGCGCACTGAGGTTAACGAAGTTATAACTGTTTGAAGAAAATAGAGTCAGTTTTTAATACGAAAATGGAACTTAAAAAGGGAATTATTCGGTAATTATTCATTTGTCATTCACAAACATAAATATATAACACTTAACAAATAATCAGTGACTCCTTTTTCCTGGTCTTCAGTCTCAGCACACATCATGTAAGTAATCCATGAATACTTGCATACTTACTACTTACCTGTGCTACTCCTGTATTAATAGGAGAATTTTAGCAGATTTAGATATTCAGTTTTACGTAATTATGAAAATTCCGGGACTGCGATTGGATTTGAA